GGACAATACTCAAACCTTTCTATTTAGAGTGGTAGAACAGCAAGCTGGGAACACAAACAAACTCCAGTGTTTCTATTAGAGGCATAACAAATTTTTATGCAACAAACCATTATGCAACCTATGAGTTTTCAGCAATCCTTGTTTAAAAGAAAACTGTAAATTGAAAATACCAAGTCTAAGAATATTTTTAAATCTTTGAAGTACAGATTGAGCTCTGACCAATCATATAGCACCCCCTGGCAGACATTTCTTATAGTCAGCTGAAAGAACCAGAAAGGAGAACTTTTCTGCATTTTATCTTTCTATTCCATATAAGAAGAGAATGCAACTATTGAAGAGAAGTGAATTAAAAAGGAATATACTAGCAAATTAGTTAACCCACAAGAATTAAAATGATCCAGTGAAGAATTCTGTTGAGAAGTTGCTAAAATAAATGGCACAAATGAAAACAGACAAATGAAAATAAATTTCATTTTAACAAAGCTATTTTAAATGACAAATTAACACCACTTATGCTTGTGTTGGGACCAAAGACTACTAGTGCTACTTCCCATGTTGTCATACTTTGACAGAGACAACTTGAATGGGGAAAAAAAAAAAAAGGCACTTCACATCAAAAGCATAAAAAAAACCCTACTATTTTTCTCAGATCACTACTGTATAGATCTGTTCTTCATAACAAGCACTCAGGGTAAACTGTTGCTGGATGTAGCATTTCTGACAATAAAATAGCAGATTTTATTCAGATCAGATTTTATTCAAGTCTCAAAATAATGGAAAAGAAGTAGTTCTTCAAACAACCCATAGTTAAGTAGTAAAGTTTTTTGCAGATGCTAGAAATATGGGCTCAAGAGAAAACAACAATTGTATGGTATTTCTACATGGCAGAAAATGCCACCGATTACCTTCATGTATGCAGGAACCAGTTATGAGTCAGGAATGTAGAGTCTGGGATAGCAAATGGGGTAGGGAAAGGGAAGTATGTATTTGCTCTGTTGTTAGGTTCTTCCTTAAGCATCATTTGTGGCTACTCTTGGATTCCAGTTATCAAGCTATGTGAATCCACTGCAGCTGGTTTTGTTCTTGTGTAATACAGCTTACTGACGTACTTATGGTCACTTCCATGTTGTTAGAGATAGAGGTACAATCTTGCTGCACGAGTAGTTACCTTCCTTCTCTTTCCCTTTGAAGACTTAATGTTGAAAGCAACTGTAAGATGCTGTCTTACACCACGTTATCTTTGTCAAATCAACTTTGAATCTACTATAGGCTGAACTGAAAAATTCAGATAAAAGTGGTTTGGTTCTTACTAACATAGGCGCAGATATTGATAGTCAAAGCCGTACCTCAAATTTATGTTGCCTAAAGTATACTTTTAACATTTTAAGAGGTTGCACAATACAGTAAATTAGCGTTTCTGAACTGTAATTACACAACACATTGATCACACTTTTCAAAGCAGTCTCTCTAGCACAGGGTAACAAAGCTCTAGCATAAGGTAGTACAGGCTCTAGTACTGGCAGGAATTAAGCTCTAGTATGGGCAGAAACTAATAAATTCAGCCTTCTTGCAGACTGTAGGCAATACAGGCAGATCACATTTCTTTTTTTTTTAAAAAAAAAAAAAAAACAAACCACCACCACCCACTCAGTACCCTGGAAAGCCACCAGATTTCTACTAATGGTAGAAATCCCATTTCCTCGCACACTTGGCAAACTGAAGAAGACAAAGCAGGTGATCCATGACATAACCTTGATGTAGTTCAACAAGTAACATGGTTTAAAACATCATTTCAGTTTGGTACTCATATACTTGGATAGTTCAGAGAGAATTATGGAGTGCGACCACAAAGCTGATCGTGCAGCTTTCTTTGTAACTGATCAGACGGAGAGCTCCATCCATGCAAAACCAACCACACAATCCCACAGCCTTACAGCATGTATAACATTACTCTTGCCATCTCAGGCCCAGGAAAAATGAGACAGAATAATGTGACTTCAAGAATATATTTTCCATGTGCAGGACAGAGAAGCTAAAACATATGTACCTAGTTCTCCCTGCTAATACTTATTGCAAGTATATGGCTAAGGTTTAGCTTCAGCGGGTTTGGGGCAGTTGGGTTTGTTTTTTGTAATTAAGTTACTAAACGTATTTTCATGATGTTTGGCAATCACTTTGTTCTTCATTTTACAGAGCTATTTAACAGTCATGTAATTTCAAGTTAATTTACCCCCAATTCTCCAAGCAAGCTCTATGATAGCAATTGCAGCAAGTATAATAAAAAACTCCCCCATTTTTTGAAATTTGTTACATTATTTAGTGCAATAGTTCACTTCAGATGAGATCTTTTGTAGTTGCTTGGAAACAACATTCTCTTTAATGCTCTTTAATTAACAGAAGCACCTCTAAGCTTCTCTTACCTAGTAACACTGGAAAAAACAATTCTGGCTTTCTTACATGTTACTGTGAGGTAGTTTTGATTTCTCTTCAGCTATAATGAATCCCATGTTGTCATACAGGGTGTTAACAGTTACCATCCAGCCTCATGGACCAGCAGGCTACACACTAAAAGACTAGCTTTGCTAAGAACTGGTATGGAAATCAACATAATATCATTTTCTACAACTGATTTTTCAGATTATTTGCTGTTGTGGTTTTGTTCTGGTTTAGAGAAAAATCAGATATACTACCATTAACAATTATTCAGCAAAATTAAGTGTACTAAAATGTTAGGGAAAAGGACAACTTTTAAGTTACTCAGGCAGTATTTTCCCAGATGCCTCTTAAAATGGTTAATAATGTAGTCTTATGTAAGCCAGTACTGCTTTCCTGTGTATCCATTTTAGGCACTTAAATAGCAGACACTCTCATCCCATCTTTTTTAGGGAAGGAAACTGAAGCACAAGACTACAAGTCAAACATCTCCTTTATGTAAATCTAGTTAGACATAGGCTATCATTTATTCTAAGTTGAAGTAACAGAGAACATCTGCAAAGAATTCAGTTTTAAGTAAATTGCTCAGTATTACAAAGAATATCTGATTATATCAGTCTCTGCCACTGCTTTTTTCAGCATATCCTTCAACTACCCTAATCTGAAATCATTTTTCCAGGAAAACATTCACATAATCTACACTCCAGTCTCAACAGTCACAGCCTGCTTCACAGCATCAGTTCATTCCTAGTGTAGGTCCATCCTGCACAATGGCTCAAGCAATTAATCACACAGGTGTGTGTTTCAGTATGTATAAATCGGGGTGAAAGCAGGGATATGGGGAGTGCAGGGGGGTTGGCAACTTTAATACCAATATTATTTTCATTGACATTGCAACTGCAAATGGCATTTCTGCATTGATTTTGCAATAAGATTAGCTTCACAATCCTGGTAACTGTTTTGCTAAATAGAAGTATGCTGAATGTACTGAGGAGACAAAAAGAAATCACTGGTGTTTTGGAGCAGGTTGGTCAAAATATATTGGCTGGGATTACACTTCTGATGCATCTACTATGTAAATTCACAGTCTGGGTTAGGTAAACCAAACTAGCAGTGGTCATCCTTATTTTTAACCCATAACATGTAGATTTGCTCTGACCAGGGTACCTTTTTAGCTAGTAAGAGATCATCTAGCAATTAATGTTACAATCTAATCATCTCTGTCACAACGGAAACACACTGGTACTATAAACAATGGAAACTTCTGTGCATGCAAACAGAATTAGACAAGAAACCTTCCTTCTGGAGTACCTCCTACACATAAGTAGCAAAGAAACTATTTAGAAATAAAGCTGTTCTGCTTAATCAAGCTCAAAAGTTGTTCTGCAAATGCTGCTTTGGACAGCAGATGGATGGGGCAAAAGGTTCAGTCATGTGGAACTAGAAATCAAAACTTTCTGATCAAAATGAAATGTACCATGAGTATGTATGAAAACTGGCATGATCAAGTAAAATGCTGCCACTGTTTCAGAGGTTACATTTAAGCACTGAGTAATAGCAACTTTGAACTGCAATTTCTGGATGCTTACCTACATTTAGAACTAGCCATTAATGGGAGCCCAGGGTTTCAATCTCCAGTTTAAGGACTACTCATATACTGTATACAGTAATACTGTTTACTGTAAAACAAAGAAACATTCTGTAATCTTCTGTGTTCTCCTTTTTCTCTGGGTAATGATCTCTGATTTCTTTCCTGCATAACTTCAACAGGAAATGTAGGGCATGCTCTCACCTATAGCAAACTACAGACTAGTAGCAACAGCACTTTCCAAAAGGGAGGGGGACTGAAGAAGAGAAGGAAGGGGAACCACATACTCCTTTCCACGGATAAGTGAACTAATTTTTTTGGCCTAATTTATGGATGCTGTATCAATAGAACATAATTACTTCTTTTATTTTTAAGAAAGAAAGTTTTTGTAAGAGACGTGACTATTGCCAGCATACAGTACAATCCAATTCCATTCTCTGGGTTGGGTTATTCCACTATATTAGATGAAGCAAAGTCTATCTAGGTTAAAAACAAAAAAACAAAACAAAAAAAAAAGGCAAATGAATTTGACAGCCTGTTTGGACCAGACCAGTTCTGAACAAAGACTCCGAGATGCGTGTAACTACAGAATCTGAGAGTCAAACTGCACCTGCTGAATTTAGACAGATGGCTAGTTGGTGCTTTTAGCATCCAAGATGGACCAGAACCTGAGACTTGCAGGACTGAGCTGTTAAAGAGCCTATATTTTGGTAAAAGAACTCCTTCATTGGATTTATTCCTAGAATCACAAATTCACTTGAATTAAATGTTACTAAAATGCAGCTGAAGTAAGAGTTTATATTTTTTTCTATTTAGATACTTAATAGAAAATTAGCAAACTTAAACCATCCTTGTATACCATAATACCATAAGCTAGCTGAATGTTAGGAACAATGAAGTGATGTACACCTCAAAATATGAGGCACCATTTAAAATTACTCTGTCCTGTTCTTCCTACTGACACCACCAGTTTACTCACTTGTAGCCATGATACCTGGAGGACATGCTGGTATCCCGTGATCAACTGCCCATCTGTAAGCTCCTTCACCAACTAAAAAGCTAGGAGACACAGAAGAGGGAGTTTAAACAAAACCATGTAACAAATCCCCCTTTTCTTGCAATTATTTTTTCTATTTGGTTTGGTCATTTTAAAATCATAAGCTGTCTACATTTCATAGAAATGTCAGCTATAATTACATTTGGCAACCTTAAGTAGTTTCATTAAAAGACTATGCAGCTCTGACATTAAGTTTAGTATTGGATAAAAAAACGTGCTATTAAATTTGAAATTAATTACCAAATAGCACCAGCTTTTAATTGCAGCTAAACCAGGACAAAGCCATCTAGAGTCTTGCTCTCTATAACAACTTAGTAAGATCTTGAAGACCAATAACATGGGATGAATGAGGTGAGAATGGTAAGGTACTTCCAGTGAAGTCAGCCAGTGCCACATGAATATCAAGAATTATTTTGAGAAGTACAACACAAGCTAAAAATAAGCCTTATTTAGAAGGATGAAGGTCTATCTCATGGAGTTTTACCAAGCATCTGCAAAGGAGACAAGTCTACCGCATTTTTAATATACTTGCAAAAACCCCAACAACCTATCTTAATTTCTAGTCAGTACTGAACACTTTACAGTAGTGAGACAGTATACACTGCTGTGACAATGAATGATAGCAGAAAAATATACACGTACATTTAACTTTTAAGGAGAGGAAAAAAACCCAAGCCTCAATGATCTATACTGTTTCCCCTTAAAGAAATTAACCTGATTCCCTGAAAAGGGGAATGCAGTAGTTGAAAATCACACATTTTCAGACTGTTGCTGTGCAACAGTACTAACAACAGCAACGCGATAAAGGACAACTATTTCCAGTCTTACCTTCATATCCCCCTTTTGAAATAAGAATACACAACTGCCTAATGGACACAAGAAATAAAGACTGAGGATTTACAGCAATTTCAAAAAGCGTTACAGAAATACCAGGTTTATAAATATAAGGCTAAAGAAGTTACATCAGCTACAAATATGTCCCTGAGGCTACCTAGCACTACAATTCTGAGAACATTATTGATATAGCAGATTTGTTGGCATTGTTGGAAGTTTTCTTGACAGTGCTGTATCTGACTGACACCTGCAGCTTTCAGTATGTGTATCCTGAGGTGATACTTTGTCTTCTCTATGACTTAACTAATACAAGAGGTGTGTCCAGTCTTTCCTTACAAAAGTCTCAAACCAAAAGTTTATCTATATGAGAATTTGAATTTTTAAATACTTATTTCTTACCATCGTTAGTGCTGCTCCAGATAAATATTGTTCATGTTGCAAGATACTGTAGATTAAGTTAGTGGGTACTTTGGGAGAACTCGAGCGTCTCCTCTTAGGTAAGCTAGTGCTCAAGAAACAACCTGTCACTTTCATTAACGTAAGAGAGAAATGCAAACTGTAGCCAAACCTAATTAAGTAGTATTCTCCATTGACTAAAAGAAGGTTTTGGTCTTTAAAGAAAAGTTTTCCATCAACAATACATTCTCAGGAAGTAAATAAGTACTTCCTGTTCAATAAAACAGTTTACACAGAGGAGAAGGGTAAGTGGAGAAAGTATCAAGCTCAAATATTTGGAGTTTTATATATGGTAACTTGAATAGCACAGATCAGTCAGAAACACTGCATTTTAAAAGCAATCTCACAATTGCCTTTTTAATACTTAAAAACACAAAAACAGTCACAAATACTTAATGAGTGCAAAAAAAGCACACAAGAATGTCTCAAAACCTAGGTGACGTGACTTTTACTTTGCTCACACTTGCGTTCTTAATTCCTAGATTCCTCTTCCCTTCTATAAGATGGGCACAGACAAAGTATTTTCCTCTTCTGGTCCCAAAGAATAGCTGGATTAGTTGAAGCAGACATCAACTTGAAGCCCCATAACACCATAGAGATCATTCACCTTGTTTAAACTTTCCAGTTCAAATGTCTTGAAAGGACAGCATAATCACAGAAAAGTTAAGATAAACAGTTTACAAAAAAAAAAAAAAAATCAGTATCTTAGTGCATTGTTGTCTGTACTACTTATACTGTATCTCCTATTAATTGATATAGGATTAGTTGGTAAGAGACTCCTACAGGACATACAGCATGAACTCAGTTCTGCAGGTAGTCAAACACATATAATCTAAACAAGACTAAACAGTCTTTACACCATCCCAAAAAAGCAAGTTCTGTGATCCGGCTTAGCACACAGCCACACACACAGTTGTACTAGCCACAGATGATAGGGTGGCGAGAGGGTGGGAACCAGCAGAATGGCACTAGGGAACTGCCTTAGTTGCCATGAGAATCATCCATGTAGCCATGCAGAAAAGCTGCAGCAGGCAAGAATGAGCAGGGCAATACTTTAAGCTGACATAAAAAAAAACCCCAACTACCTTTAAATAACTACCACCAAGCTTGATTTACTGGGGGAGAGGGAAAATAAGGAACAAAGCCAGTGGGCTACAGAAATGAGCCAAAACCCCACCAAGTTTCAAAAGCCTTTAGGCTAATACAAAATACAATTTTCCAAAGGGGGAAAAAAAAAAAATAAAAACCAAAACCAAAGGATGAATGAGTTTGTGCTCTGTTACTCTAAAAGTTGGTTCTGCACAAATAAGATAAAAAGATCTTTCTTGCAAATACATCAAACGAAGAGTACTCTGTAGTTGGTAAAGGCTCAGAACACACAGAAGATGAAAACATCCTCCCAGCAAGGAGCCAATGCTTGAATACTCTTTCCAGTTCCAGGCAAACTAGACCATATTAATGAAAAATGCAAGTCAAGATCTTTAAAAATGGTCTTTTTAGGCCATTTTCTCCAAAAACATTGTTATCCTGGTGCTGTTTGCTCCAAACAAGGCCATTTAATATGGGCTGCATGGAGACAGGCCACACCAAGCTAAACAGAAGTGGCAGAAGGAGGTTAGGTTCATTAAAGATGGCCAAGGTGATCCTGAATGTAACAAACTCACTTTGTAGCATTTATTATAAAATGCAGCAATCACTCTGAAATCACCCTTCCGAAGAAAAAACTTCTGAATATAGATCAGAGATAAAAAGGTGGTTCAGGTCTTCACTCTAGGCACTTTCTTGACTACACACTGCCCTACAAGTTACACTATGTACATATCCTGCCTACAGTACTGTAAAACTGTGAAGAAATTACAAATCCCTGTATAAGCAAAGAGGGGCAAAAACCCCCAACCCTAAAAAGGGATTATTTCCCATACAGGTTACTTTTAATACTGAAAAAGGAATACAGACATCAACTTAGACATCAGCAGTACTAAAGAGCTCTAAGAAAAGAGACATTCAGGTATATTTGTACCATCCTGCAACTCTTACATATCTACACTTAATAGTAAACAATGTAAATATGCCTTTTTTTCCTTACAAAGGTCAAGGTCTCAGAGTAAAAAATAGAAAATCTTCAAACTTATTACTACCAAATATCTAATCCATTATTCTGTGACCAAAGACCACCTCCAAAGATCCATCCAATACATAATTGTGCAATTGTAATAGTGATTTCTTTTGTAAAGTTATGCAATGAACAGGAATATCTTTTACGATAATATGTAACATTTACATGTTCAGTATTTTCCATTCCTGCATACATAGGCAGAGAAAATCCTGACAACATCAAGTTAAATAAGTATGACAGAAAGATGTAAGAACTTTAGCAGTTTCAACAAATGCCCTCATGCATTCAGGGTTTCTCCACTTCAAACTTTTCCAATTTTAATTTGGATAGTGGGATCCTGTATTTTAAACAAGACAACAAGATATTGATCCAAAATTACACACTCTACAGAGCAATTTACAGCAAATTGGATACATCGGTTAGGACACTTGATCGCTCCTTCCCAACAAGCTTACCATCTCAGAATAAAGTCGTTCACACTTATTAGAATTTCTTCTACGGAAAACTAGAAATATACCACTTTGAACTGGTTTTGAACTGTCACTATAAAAACAGGTACTGAACAGGGGTAAACAGGCCAAACTAACTCCTCTGTGTGTTCTTTTATACACAAGAATCTCCATAATGCCACTTTTATTAACCCCACAGTTCATGAATTTTTCTTGTGTGGTCATGTGCCAAACATTCTGACCAGGAAACATTAAGTTAGCTTAGATCATGCTATAGAAACACTCTACCACTGGGTTTCTTTAAGACAGGTTCTTAGGCTAAGCAGTATCTAAAAGATTCCCAAATATGCTATTTGTCCATGAGAAACAAGATGAAACTTGCTTATCTTTATAAACAAAAAATCAGTTACTAAAATCCTGACACTTGGTAGGAATGCCAAAATACAACTGCTCTCTTGTCATTTGACTATATATATATATATATATATATATATATCCAGCTTGTGCAGGAATATATTTCTGTCCCAAAACAGCAATGTGCCATGCCAAATCCTGCCAGAAAGGCAAGGCACAAAATTGTCAATAGTCATCACCTACAATGAGCGTGAACTCTATCATTCTGGACTTGGGGTACTCTGTACAGGAGCATCTACCAAGGCAAGCACAAGCCATCATATTCCACCAGTATAGATTGTTCCTGGAGTCACTAATTTACTCTAATAAAATATACATTCAAAATGCAGAATGGGAAAAAGGAAATGAAAATATGTATTAGGCAACTCAGGTCCACAACATTTGCACAATAAACTGTATGTGCTGGCTCCAAAGAAAGTTCACCTCTTGCCTCAAGACTTTGAGCTCCTTTGTCTTTAAAGCATCTGTTAGCCAAGACCTTGCACAGGGTTTGACAGATTTAGTCTTGTTGTTTGAGGGCAAGGGGATAGTTTCTTTTCCATTCAGTTATTTTTACATTATAGCAGCATAAACTAGGTCATGCCAATATGCTCTGCCTTACAACAATGTGTGAAAACGTTGTGATGATACAAAACAAAATCACAAGTGCTTGCTCTGTAGCTAACTCCAGCGTTAGTTCTGGAACACCAAAAAACCCCACCTCAATTGACACCCTCTTTAACATAACTCAGCTATTCCCCTCTTTCTTCTGACACCTGAAGAAATGAGCTATTAACAGCAATTGAAATTCAAGTTCCTATTCCTCAGTGAACTTATCTGAAAAAAAGTTATCTCACTAACTACAGTTACTCTTTTCTTTTGTCATAAAGAAAAGAGTTTTAAATGCAAAATCTGCTTGTTGATGGTTTTGTTTCAGGGTGGCTTTTTTTTGATTTATGAACTTCCTTTGCAGCACGACAGAACACTGAAACAGTGCTTTTCCTCACTGTTTAAATTGGAATACTATACCATCCAGCTACAGACTATTTGGCTAATTTTACAGAATACCATAATAAGGAAAGTAAAATTTGTGAATCTAAACATACATGTTTTAAACTACATAAATGCTGGTTTAATACATCTGCATATACTGTAGCCCATTAGTTAGCAAATGGTAGCAAATTTCTGCAACAGGCATAACTGAGGATAGCAGTCAATAAATATGAATGAATCATTCAAGTTCTCCACTTGTCAATTTAAGCTGCTAATGAAAATAAGAAGGTTTCAAGAGCAATCAATTCTGACACATATAATGGGTTGTTCCCAAAATGATGCAGTAATATTTAATGCTGCTATGCACTGAATCGTTACCTCTTCCATCGAAGTATTATATCCATCTCAATAAAGGAGTGCATGTTTTCACTGTTGTTGTAAATACTATTAAGTTTATCTTTAAAATAACTTCCCATTTTGGCTAAGAGGAAGTTACTGAACATTGCACATTTCCACACTATAACTACAAAATAAAGCCACAAATACAGGCAATAAAGTAGGATTCTTTTATATACTTCTTAAAAACTGTTGTTTTTTTTAAAGGTAGGCAGAGGCAAAGGCAGTAGAATTGCATTTACATCTTGATGTATTTAGTGATTTTTCAAAATGCTACAGTAATAAACATAAGAATTCAGTATGACATAACTGGAAATAATCACACAGGCAGAAATTATCACAAAATGATGTTGCCATCTATTCACAATACTTCATTTTACCCACAGCTTCATCAAGTGCACAAGTTGTTTCAAGATCAGAGAACAAAGCTTATCTTCTTTTTAACGGCACACTATCACTGCTATGTAAAACAGCACCAGCCTTCTTGGGATAAGATATAACCTTCAAATTTGCATGCAGTAGAGATGAAAGACCAAAGTAAAGTCAAGCAGAACAAAGCAATTACCAAGGTGGAATTCTGCCAGCAGAGAGTTTTCCCTTCTGCCCTTCACACAACAATCTATTTGCAACTGAAACTGGATTCTTGATTCCTGAAAAAATAATTAGCAAAAAATGGGAACAAAACATTAAAATATTTTTCCACATAGCACTGTAGTGTTCATTTTTTCAATAGAAGTCAGCTTCCTTTAATTTCCAAGGCTTTACCAAGTCATCAAGAAACACCTTATGTTATGTTTCAATCTAATAACAACAACTTTATCAGTTCTTCCTTCACTGATGTTCTATCAGTCAGTCATGACAAAGCCTTCCAATCAACATCCCCCCCACTTTTTTTGTTTGCTTGTTTTAAAAAAGAAACAATTATATTGAAACATTAGGAGTAACCACTTATCACAGAAATCTCAAATTAAATCTATAGTATTCTACAAGCCCAAGATATTTTACGAGTATTAATTTTTTGAGATGGAAATAGCTTTCATTTGAATCTATCTGGCCAAAACAGGGATAATAGGATTCAGGCTTAGCTTTCTCTCACTCCCTCATTTCCTCCTTCCCCATGACTGGAAGGTTACATTTTGTAAAAAACAAGCCTTGAAACACTTAATTTTACTATTTATTTTAGATTTTTATCTACATGAGTAAGTTATTACCACAGTTTAGAACTATTCAAGGATAAAGAACAAAGCTTGAAATGTTGTCAGAAAAGCTATTCAATAGTAACAGTTAAGGTTGTTCAATGTACTCAACACAAAACTTCATCAATCCCTATTTGGGACTGTGTACCTATATTTGTTTCGTACTGAAAGCTAAAACTAGACAAAAAGAAGAAAAAAAAAAAAAAAAAAAAAAAAAAAAAAAAAAAGAGAGAGAGAAGCACATTAGTTCAGCTTAAATGTCCCATACACAAATGTATCTAACCTGGTAATAGTAACACACAAAATAAATCCAAATGTACCTGATCCTGTGAGAAAAATTATAATGAAACCAGCTATAGCATATATTTATGTCCCAAGCAAACAGCTTGACAGATGAGCAGCTGTGCCCATTCTCAAGAATATGTGAGAGGCTTCAGTTTGGAGGACAGCACCCTGAACAGCTTTCTGACACTACAAAGAAACTCTGGTCCCTTTTTTTGGTCCCTAATTTGAGCAGCTGAACTAAGAGAGCAAAAGATCAATTGGACTTATGATTGAATTATATACCACTAAGTTTTTTGAGGAGACAGAGAACAAAACCAAATATAAATCCCAGTTTAAATGCTTGTAATTTTTCCTATTGTATTTTTTTATTACAACGTTATCATTCTACAAATTCATCTGGACAAACTCACTCTCATTGTGAATACTGTATAATATCATACAATTGTTCTGCATCAAAGGGTTATCAGTGAACTAATAAGACAATATGCCACACAAAGCAAATTAACACAAAACAGTATTTCAGGGAGCAGGAATGTCTCCCCCTTTTTTTAAAGGTGGTGGAATTTATTTAAATGAGGCAGAATTTACAATGCGTGTCCCCCTCCAAAAAAAATAACAAAAGAACAAAATTTATCTTTGCACTTAAATCACTAGTTAGCTTTATAATATGTAATTAACATACCACTCAGTGCTCCAACTGCTCCAAAATTTAGTGACTTTCCATCCATTATACTGGCATCACATTCTATCTCACCCAGAAGGTTTAGGTTAGACCCCAATCCTGCATTTGTAAAAGGAGAATCCTAAAAATAAGAACAAAACACTATAAGGCCACATCCATAACAGACTAGATCAAAACCTCTGTATAACTGATCTGATGATACTAAGCTTGGGGCAGTGCACTTTCTTATTCTAGTAGTTTAATCTTCCACAACCAAAACAACAGCAATTTGAACAGGGCATCTCAAATTACTATAATGGATACCTTATACCCTCTCTAGGGTGCAATATATCTCAGGTGTAATAATGCATTAATATAAAACACAATCACCCAACAAATTAAGATGATCATTTATATGCAAGTAAAAGCCTTACAACACGAGTGAAAATCTCTCCCTCCCTCCCCCAAAATATACATTTCATTCAGTCTCTAACCCATCAAGTAACACTTAAGTAACGTCTAATAATCGTTGCACAGAACACAGTCTGCCTTGGACATTCTGAAGTATGACAGCAGCAAAACAGAACTGTCCCTTTCCTTAACATCCTAAGCCTATGACTGCAGCTCTGCATGCAGAAATAAAGAATTGGCATCAGTAACAAGTCATTTGGTAAAATTTCTATTCAATCATTAGCATTACTGCAGTCTGGAAGTTTCTTGAATCAAAACCAAGATATATTTCATAGAAAGTATGAAACAACATTTAATTAATTATAAAACTAACTCCTCTTTTATTAGCACCTTCTGTAGCGTTTTGCAAACTCAAGGCTCTCAGACAAAAAGCTTTGCATGCTAAAATTAAAATCACCCATTTTTGCCCCCACATGGACTTTAAATTCAAAATTTAAAAGTAGCACAGTTCAGGAGTCTCACTGTCAGCTCAATATAATCCCCTCTTTTTAGATGCAAGCACAAAATGAGTACAGAACAAAGAAAGGTAATAGCCCAGAACTGCCAAAACCAGTAAAACTTCAGAGAAATGCTACCCGCTCTTGGAGTTTCATATCTGTTTTTATTATAACAGTGTAACAACCTGATATGAAAAAGAAAAATGGCTATCTAGGCCACATGTGAACACATCAATGAAATTACATGGTCATACTTTTACAGTACAGTACATGCAATAAAAGCTGAATCAGAAAACAAATCTACTGGAAACAGCTCAAAGTTCTGTCTTAAATGTTAACATTAAATCTTCTTTTTTGTACATAATAATTTGTAATGAATACAAGGAAACGAAAGAGAGATCACACAGAAATGAAATATAAATTTGATGTTAGTAAGCCAGTTAGTTTTTGTTAAGTTTCAAATGAGCAAGTAATGAGTAAATTCAAAATCTGTTTTGCAAGATGCTGATTCTAATTTAGAGAGATATTTCAAGTGTTCTTAGGGTTTGAGTCACCAAAACACCATCTTCCTGAAGAATCATGAATACATAATACACGATTAATATGTAATCATGAAACAGACCACAACCTCTCCACGTTCCTTTTATACTACTCATCTGCATCTTCTGTTTTCCTTCTTCATCCAAGAAGTAGTAGAAGATTTTATCCCATTTTATCCCACACCAGAACAGATCTTCAAAATCACTGTGTATATTCATTGTGGTGTTCATTTTGACAGCTATGCCTCACAGCAAATAAGTAAATTTGAAAAGATTTTAGGATAATGAAACATTTGCAGTTTAATGCACAGGGAATAACTTTCCCCAGAAGGAGGAGAGGGGGGAGAATATGATTTTTAAAAGGCTACCAAGATGATGGCTTTGAAAAGGTGGAAGACTGCAGAGCAGCTGCTGGCTTAACAAGACTTCATTGCTCCCCAGGCTCCACAAGCATGAAGAAAACTGAGTCAGTGAAGGTTAGAACAAAAGGATCAGAGAAGTGATGGGAGGAATCTGAATGCGAATGGTGAAAGGTACTTAGAGAACAAGGTAAAAACAGGAATGCTTTAGGATGAACAATTCTTACTCATAGTGCTGTCCAAGTTCCTCACCCCTGGGTAATCAGAGTGCATAGACCTGAAAGCCTGGGAACAAATTTCTAATGCTCTCTTCCAAAAAACGTTTGCTCAGTGCATTATAGTAAAAAGCATTAGCAAAGAAGAATAATTTCATGCTCCACAACTTTGTCACTGCCACAGAGCAAAGACAGATGTTATTTTAAGATTAGATGTCATGGAGAGAGGAAGAAGGACTCAGCAGAACAGAAGTCCTAGTAACACTGTTCAGAATCCTTCTGCAGACAAGACAAAGCTCTCTACCATCTGATAAATATAATAATCAAGAGGGTAGGGAAAAAATACAGGATACAGAGTGGCACCAGCTCACTTTATTTCTAAAAATCTGGATGTGCCTGATGCTTTGGCATAGCACACTCCTTGGCACAACATCGAGAACACACCAGGAGACGACTTACTCAGAGGATCAAGACAAAGAGAATGCCAACTGCTTCTCCCTACAGAGTATTTATCAGAATACTAGAGAATGTTGGATAAATTAGAACTCCACACCACAAAATTGTAGATGCCTTGTCAGTGGCATAACTCTTTCATTATAGGAGTCAGAAGGAATCTTACCAGTACAATCAGTCACAACACAAGTAGCTTCTCCAGTAAAAAGAAATAAAGAGCAAATTCCAAGCACCTGTACAAAACTTCTGTGGAGCTTTATTTAGCTTTACAATCAGACTGCACTCAATTAAGAAGACTGTCTCAGAACTGCCAAGAGGAAGATGGTCTACTCTCCACAGATCTGAAAGGTGATGTGATAACAGCTTCAGACAGTGCAGGAACTGGGTGTGAATGCATGGAATTTTTGATACCTGAGTGTCTCCGAGATGAGACATAAAGCCTTTGAAATGAGGCAGGGAAAAACCTTTACAAAAAATGGAAACAGAAACTCCCACCTACTTCTACTAATAGGCAAGGACATGAAATACACCACACAAATACATCTCTTTTTGAAAACACAAGTCTCTGCAAAGTCTGACCAAAAGATTTCAAGACTCTGATATACAAATGGAGGAAAACAACTTATTAAAATTAAGGTGTATTTTGAAATGAAAATTCAAAACCTTCAAGGAATGTAGAAACATTAAAACAGAAGCGTGCGTGCTTTCAAAGGGGGAAGAAAATAAACTGAGCTAAATGAAGCAGTCTCTTCATACCCTCAGACAGAAAAATGCAGTACTGCAAGAATTATAGGACCACCATAGGATGGGGAAGAACCCAGTCAAGGCATGCATCCAAGAATAGGAAAGAAGGGAAAGGAGGAAAAGTTTTATAATACATTTATAATCTAATTCTTTGGGAATATACTTCTATTTAAAAACAAACAAACAAACAAACAAACAAAAAAACCCCAAAACAAAACCAACAAGCAGAGATCGGCCTTTATATTTCTAAAGACACTGAAAAAAAAATCCCAAAACCAAGAAAGCAAACCAAGCATGAGCTCTTCGTGTTAACAGAAAGCCCTACTACCATAGAAAAGTAGAAAAGAAGAGGGAAAAAAAACAAACAAATGGCTACTCAAAGCATTTTAACAAAAAATAAGCTTTCAATTATGTGAAAAATACTGAACTACCTGGCAATTACTTCACCCCTGAAGTGTCTCTAACTTACAACTTAAACCTGTAGCAAAGGAGATAATACAAAGCTTTAAGACATTAAACAAGAGTTTCATTTTCCCAAGTTACCCATCTCGTAAAAACTCTCAAGCTACCAAGGGTATCATTTTTATTTTTAGAATCCTTTTTACTTCAAGATGTATTTATAAACGTTCTGGCAGCAATCACAGGCATGCTGAAGTCTCTAGCTGTGGTCAAAGTTGGAATGCCTGAAGAAGTTACTCAACACTGTAACACTAATAGTCCTGAATTACATCTAGGCAAATAGTTAAAATGTTGTTTCCAACATGCATTAAAGAACATTCCACCAATCTTTGATACAGTTTTGGCCATGGTTTATTTGCAACTTTTAAAAGGGATTCAAAGTCTACAGGCATTTCTTTTTACACACTGTAATTTTAAAATTTATTTTTCTGTGGGGTTTTAGTGACAAGAAGTAATGGATGTACAAGGATGAGTCACGTCCTTTTCAATTACACCAGCTAAAATGTTTTCAAAGAACACTTTTGTCACAGATTACTGTTAGCCGCACTGCTGCAAAACATCATAGTATTGCTTGTAACTAGAATTAACAACTTCCAGTTCATTAGCCATTAAAAGTTCATCTATGGTGACTGCCTTAATACAACAAGGTCGCTGGCATTGTGCTTTCATCTTTAAAGAGAAGTCCTTAGGAATAAGATTCAAAAATCTTAATTACCATGAAATTAATAAATAAACAAAAACAAGGAAAAAACAATTCATCACAAAACAAGTTGTTTCACTGCAAAATTTTGCTGACAGGCACACAACCCCACTGCTCGAGTATACCATCAGGTTCAAAATATTCTTTTGCACTGATTCACAACAACAAAAAGAAGCAAAGTAAATCGAGCAATTTCACTGAAGGAGATCGAAACCAAAATGTGACATCCACCTCTCTGCTAATCATATTAATTTCCAATTTAAATTTATAAAAAACACTCTACTGAAGTCAGATTAAAGAAAGTGATCTACACACAGTATTAATAAGCTTAGACTTCGAAAAAGTTTGAAATCTTCATCATTCTTTACAACAAACTTATGTTCTTGTCTCCAGAACCTGAACAGTAGACTTTCTGGTGCTCTATGGTCAAAGAAAAGTTTGAAATTGCACATTGTTCTCCCAGCCAGCTATAAATGCAATCAGCATGTGGTTTTGTTGAAAACTGCAAGTTATAAGCAGGGTGTGTGGACCTTCACCACCCCAGAAAAAAGCTGCTCAAATCCCTTTGTGTTTCAAGAGAAATTCAGGTTTCATATGGTGGCTGACAGCAAGAGTGCAAAAAGGAATGATAAGTCTTATGAAGCACCTTGTCCAGACCCATTTTATTATCAAAAACTGAAAGCGGTAACCCATTCATTTGTTTCCCTGCAATGACACAGTTCACAAACTGGAAAATGTAACTGCCTTATCAACTTATCAAATACAGCTGATGCTTACAAAGACCAGCACAGTTATTTTAACAGTATTCTGGGTCAGCTGCTCTTGTTACTTTGGAAAAGAAATCTACCTTCTCTCTAGTTAACTATTAGCATTGTGATCTTAATCACAGAACACTTGAGATTCATACAGTCCAACAAAGAAAGGCTGTTCTTTCTCCATTTAGAGTCTGCAAAAACAAAACAAAAAGCAGACAGCATACCACAAGCAAACTGTCAGCTTGCTCATAAAAGATCAAGAGCAAGTCTTGCGCCTCAACAAGTCTTTGAAGTGATGCCTCTTGGATTAGCTGAAATTCTGTGTAATAAGAGTTGTGTAATTGAGCGGAACTGAGTAAAAAAAAAAAAAAAATCATCTTTTGTGACACTTCAACAAAAAGATATCTGTGCCTTGCAAAGACTACAGAGTTTTTTGAATACAGCATTAAAAGTCCTGGAGAACTGTAGAAGTGATTAAATTTTTCAGATAACCTCACAGCAATGTGTTCTACAGCAGCCAAAACACCAAAAAGTTACAAACTGTATTCCGCAATGGAATCTGTTATTACATGTTAGACAAACTTTTGTTGTTCTGTATCTTAATCTGTATTACAGTGACACATGTAAACAAACATTGTTTTCATACAGATCTGTGCTATGTATCTGCCAACCCAAAATGCTAAAGTACTTTACAAAGAAGCACTATTTTTTCCTGCATAAACAAAAGGGTAGTGATAGCTCACTAGAGAGACAATCAACATACAAACTGACATTTTTACCCATAAAATTTTGTAATCGATGAGAAAAACTATTCTGTTTGCTTTGTTGACTTGCAACATGCAGTTTCTGTTTTCCATAGAGCAAAAGGAAAAACATCAGAATAAAAACCGAAGACGCAGAGATGTCTGGAGCTGGTTTCAGAATGAGATATGAGTAGATACAAACCTTTCAACATTCTAGATGCTGACAGTCTAACACTTTGGGATTTCTTAAACCAGATTCAAAAAACTGACCCTGCAATCCACACCATCTTCTATTTTGAGTATACTTTTGATTTCTCCTCAATGTAACTGCATAGCTATGTACTTTAATTTAGAAAAAGCCCAAATCCCAAACCCCATATCCTTCATCCCAGTAACAGAGATGATAACTCACAATTAAGGGGTTATATAAATCATTTAATAAATAAACAAAAGCAAATAATTACATTAATGACAGCAGGACAACCTGAATAAAATAATATTTAAACTTAAAAAGAGGAAAAAATTAGAAAGAAAAGGTTTTATGCAACAGTACACATAAGCATACTACCTGGGACAATTATAAAACAAGGAAGTGGAATGATGGCAGGCAACACCACAATAGGATCAAGACAGATGAGGAAAAAAAGGTGCTGACTGAAGTAATTTCATAAAAGGGTTTTAATTTAATTTAATCTTAAAGCCATAACTTCTCACAAGATGTCACTACAGAGTATTTAAAACTACTAAAGTAAAAGTCTCTTGGGGATACCAAAACCAGATAAAATATTTACCCCAGGCACAGCTGCAAAGAGATATATACCTGTCAATTTAGGCTTCTTAAAATATGTTTTCTACCATGTAGCTCAGGAACACAATAAAAATCACAACACAAAGTAGAATTTTTTTTTTCCCCACTGAGGAGGGAACTGACACAAAAAACAATCTGGTGGAGTAACCACAGCTTCAGTTAGTTTATGGAAGTGCATTATAAATAAACCTATTAGAGAGATATCTTTTCTTTTCACATAGCTATATTGTAATGATTGTAATGTATAAGACAGCACATGAAAGCATATTTGAACAGTTCAGTGGAGACCAAAAAGTACTGTTTAAAGCCAAGAACCTTGCCAAGTTAAAAGTATGACTGAAGTCTTGGCTCCTAGTCAGCATGTCTAACACATATTAAACTATGTACTGCCTGCCTTACACTAACCCTATCAAGTATGTTAATTAACATTTTTCCAACATACATGTAAGCAAATCCACTGCTAATCCTCTCAGAATACTACTATAAATTCCAAACCCAGGAAATCATTTTTACAGCACAACACTTACTTTGCCATCCTTCTTTACTAATAAAGTTGGAGAGGAAGAAGCAAATACTCCTTACAGGAGAAGAGGAATACCTGTTTCAATCATTACTGCCATGAGGGATTAGTGAACCAGGGACAATAACCAATCTGCCTCATTTACATCCCAGAAATTCTTTTAGCTTTACTCTCTTCTACATTATTTCACAGGGATCCTTCACTGAAGTCAGATGCTATAAAAAAATCTCACCACTCCAAAAAGACACTTTTCCAAAAACCTCACAAGTAACTGCTCATCTCTTTATGATTATCAAGACTTTCTATTTGAATTAACAAGTACCATTTTGAAATAAAAGCATTACTTGTCCTATTCTTCTACAATTATTTTTTCATAAAAATCAGAAAAAAAGCATTATCTTACACTGAAGACACATTTCTCTGAACAGTTTCTAGTCTCTTATCCAATCAGAGATCATACAGGCACAAAGGAAAAAATGCAAGAATAAAAGCCTTTGGGGACTGCACTAATTTAAACTCATAGCAAAAGTATGTCGTTGGACAAATGAGAACTTAAAATTCCTACTTCATTTTCATAGGGTCCTTTAGCTGGATGGAGAGACAAGCAGTGTTAAATTTATGCAATCACTTTTGTAGAATTACCCTGAAGAACTGAAAAAGGTATGAATAACACAACCCCAGAAAGCATACCCAGAGATAGCTACCTCAACATAATTACTACATGAGTGTTAAGAGAACTACTAAAGACTAACTTCATCTAAATTCTTTAGATTACACTTTCAAGAAATTAAACATAATCCAGTGTGAGATATTAATGCAAACAAAAGGAATTGGGACTCATCCTAGAATTTCTAGTTAACGTATGTGACCAGTACTTTGATTTTTTTCCCTATCTAAGAATCAGAGCCAGTACAGTCTGCCTGTAGCTCGGTAAATCAAAAATAAAGTTCCCTACAAAGTATCCAGTAAGTCTTTAATGACTGTATTTATTCATGAAGATTAAAGACTATCTGATAAGGCACACCTAAGATGACAACCAAACTGCACCAACTAGATAGTTTTTATTCAGTTTGCCTTTTTAGAAAGTCTTTAAATAAATTTACTCCAAAACCTAGTGGAAAAGGGAAGTATAAAATTAGCGTAGCACAAAAATGGAAATCTCAGTCGATTTCCCATCCCATTTGAATTAATACCTTCCTACAGAAAAATCTGGCGATGTATCCAAGAGACTTATTTACTACTAGTCAGAAATTCATACCTCTAATTCTATAAGTGCTGCAGTCACTGCATCTGTTGCAAGAGCACCAGCCTGTAGCTTTTCAATTGCCTGTAAAACAGAATTTTTAGTTGACGATTAGGAAATTCTAATACGCTGTGGCTAAACCCTACATATTCTTAGTCCTGTACAAAACAAAATCTTCACCAAATTAAAGTCTAAGAGAACATAAAAACAAGAGGCACTGGAAATAGTCAGTATGCACCATGCGAGGGCAGATCTGAAGGCATGATTTTACTACTCTGACATTATGACACTGCATTTAATAGCAGGTTCCTGCATGGTCAAATTTATAGCAAAATAAATTCTTATACCCAGTGTCCTCAAACAGTGTTTCAAAAATCAGAAACTTCTTGACTCAAGATTCAACAAAAATCCCTAGCACCATATATGGCAACTGTCATGAAATTGAACAGAATCTACAAGTTAGCTCATCTGAAAGCCAACACACTAAAACAAATCAGGTGAGACAATGTTATCTTCAAATTATATAGCACACAAAAATGAACTTCTAGAGCCTAATATTATTTCTTAGGTCCATACTCGACAAGACTTTGCAGTCAAGTTCTCTCAGGGAGCCCCAGAAAACAACTATGGCTACATCTTCAGTTGCAAGACAAACCTGTGACTGTTTGTTATTCATACAAGTTATTTATGTTGGCTTAAGGAACCAAATGAAATCTCAATTTAGACTTAAGTTCAACAGCAAACATCCTTTTTTTCACACATAATTAGATGGAAAATTAATATCATCAGGGCTAATGCACAACTTTAATGAAGCTAGCATTAAGTTTGGAGGATTTTTGAGACTTCTCATTACGAAATTAGATTGTTATTAGGATTGAGCAACAGAGCTGCAAGATGAAGTGATAACTATCAGAGGCCAACTCTGAGACTCTTCTAAAAAGCCTGCCAAGCTTCCCAGCTCCTTCTCCCTGGAGAAAGCAAAAGGCATTAGAAATTCTGAAGACAGGTCTTGCAGCTTCTCATTCAACATTTACTAGACAAGACCTGCTAGTTCCAAAGTTAAGTTCTCAGGGGAGATTAAAAAAAATATTAATTTCAATGGAAATTAAAGTCTTGACATTTCTCTCTTTCCAGCTTTGGGAAGAGGGTTTGGATTTTTTGTTTTGTTTTTCCTGTTTCTACCTCCCCTCCTATTAAGAAGTTAAGATCTATCAAGAAGAAAATAATTCTAGAAATTTCTGTATTCAGAGCAATCTGAATGCTAGAGTTTAAATCAATTCCAAAAAGAGTGGACATTGCTGAAAGAAAAATCTAGACGCCATATTTAGCTCCAGAAATCCCAGAGCCTCAGGAACAGCGCAGGAAGCTGTAGGAATACTCTGTGTAGATATGACTGTGACCTTCTCCTGTTCCCTCACTGTTCCTTTGGGGTCTGCCATTTGCCACCAGACGAGAACTGGCTGCACCTCACAGTCGTGGACTCTATTAACTCTGTATCACGTTCACTTGTGCTGCTCCATTTTTCCACTAGAAACACCTACAGCCTGAGTAACTAAACCTTGATATAGAAGGGACACTGCTCCCAAATATATTTCTTGTATACCCACTATAGGAGTGTGGAGCTGGTAAGACATACCTTCTGACAGGCTCTTTTGCACACATGCTTGTATTCTTTAGCTTTGGATTCAGAATGATAACCTGCACCTAAAATTAAGGCAAAAGGAAAAGAGATTAGACTATCTGTCAAACTACAGCCCATAGTTCACATAAAGAATTAAGATACAGACAAATACACCCTTCCTTATTCAGGATTACATTGGCATTTCCTTTTTGTATCAAAGATTGACAACCTTATGCATTCCAACATTAATTCAAATACACACAGTAAAACACAGTATACAGAGCAAATATGCAGAAGCATACAGGTATAAATCTCAGCGTCATACAATCTGTTCCTCCAAGAGATTCCAGTTTTGTTCATTCTTGGAGAACTTCCAGCATAGCTTTTTAATTTATTGTCCATCACTGAGCAAAAACCTTGGGTTTAAGTCAAACTCCAATTTTCCTTTTACTGTTGATTTGCAAGTTTGCAATTACTCATTCTGTTCATCTCCTCATATTTATGCTGCATTTTTAGAGCTCATTACTCCTGCTTTAGAGCCAGAGACTTGAAAAATTTATCAGTGCCCACTATTTGACTAAATACAGCCTCAGAAAAATAAGACAAGACTAGCACGCTGACATTTAAATTCCACCTTCTTCCGTGTTCTTGTTTTTTGAACTTATCTCAACTTCTCTTTCCTCACCTCCAGAAGTGTTAGCTTTGAGAAACTCTACTAAAACAAGTTTTATGACTACTAGTGAAAGAAAAAGAATTTTAAACAGAGAAAGTAACCCGGTAAAGGACAACATATCAAACAGTTCTATCCATTTGCTTTTAGAATACCAGGGTCATCAAATATCAGTCCAGAATAAGTTCTTTGAGGGTTTGGGGTTTTCTTTACCTCAGGATTTTACAAATCAAAATAAGCATGTTGTTTTTTCAAATATTTTAGGTGTCACCAAGCTACTTTGCTCAATTTCACTCCATGTCATCAGGCATATGCTAAAAACAAATATGAAGCCAAACATAAGCATCACTAATATTTTCAAGATCAACTGTTTATAAGAATCTATTAGAAAAGAATTTATGACACACATCATTTTTGTATCACAAAAAGATGACCTGTTCATTACATGTGGAAAAAATAAGTAGTAATTCACTTAAATATGAAAAAATATTTTTAAAAAACAGTAATAATAAAATAAAATTTAAAAAATAATAATAAAAACAAACAAAAAAACCCCACAAAACAACAGACTTGGAGGAAAACTTCCAAAAGGGTAAAAAAAAAAAAAAAAAAAAAAAACTGAAACAAACAGCCTAGGGAGATTTCAAAAAGTCTTAACTAGATTATCCTTATGGACAAGCTAGACAAAAAACTGTCAGTAACAAACAGTTATGTTTGATTTTTCTGTAGGGTAAGAAAATAGACTGAAACATCTCACATTTTGTACATTTCCCAAGTTTAGAAGATAACTGCAGAATCTGACATTTTATAATCATTTAATTTAAGGATTTTGTTTGGGGTTTTCTTTGTCAAGAAGGAAAAAAAATACCGTTCAGAATACACAAACCCCAACATTTTTATTAACAATTTCCAAGATTCTCCAGCCAATGCAGCTTCCAATCAAACTCTCCACTCCCAGATTTACACCCAAAGTTAATGTCACTTCGTTAACACACTGGTAATCCAAAGCCAATACAGAAGTTTAGTTGCTATTTAGTTCGTATATGCACTATTTCCATTCCAGCTGTTACGCTTCTGCATCTTACCTGCATGGACAAGCACAAATCCCACTCGTTTCCCTCTTTGGGTTTGCTTTGTTTCGGGCTCTTTGACCATCACTTTTACAGCTGTAACCTGAGACGATTTGGAAGGTAACACTTCTACTGAACTTATCCCCTTCTCCATGATCATACATTAGGATCACCATCTTCTACTGGAAAAGAGCATCCTTCCATTCAAAAATAAACTCTGGAGAGGAATCATCCTAAAACCAAATCACATGCATACATTAGATGCTGATTTCAGGAGATTAATTTCATACAAATAACTTCAGGAAGAACTTTGGGAAGAGAGGTTTGAAACAAGGAGAGTGTGCCTCTTGAAAAAAGGCCTTCTAAGTTCTGCACCTTCCCTAGCTACCAGTATTAATAAGACTTAAAATAATCAAAATCCATGTTGCAACTTGAAAAAGCAGCCTTTTCATTATGACTTAACTTGAATCTAACAATCTTTCCAAGTGTTGTAGGGAATTGGTGATATAAGGCTTGTCCACGATTGAAAGTTGTTTTCTATGGTCTCCTTTTATTCAACAGTACACTTTATTTCTCCATGCATCATGCCTAACTGGTTTTTAATGTGATGATGATGCTCTATAGCCACAACCTTTACTTCTTAAAAGTGTCATTCCTTGCTTGTGTGCAAAGTCCTAAGTAGCACTGTATCAATGCTGGCAAAAGCTGAAAGACAGTATAAATGCTTGCACAGCAGAATCTCCTGTCCTCAAATCACATACCAGCCGCTGCCTGTGTGATTTTGCGCCTATATTTTATGTAGGGGATGTAAAATCTGTGCATTAACACAAATTAAATAGTCATACAAGAAGTTACGAACATGAGCTCTAGAGAATTGTAGCATATGCATAACACTTACAAATACCATACCTTTTCCTTTCTTTTGCAGGAAATAGCTGTTTAAGAACCTATAATGAATTCCTACTCTTCCATACTTTTTCATCCCTTACTCTTGTTATTCTCCACTGACTTGTGAGGGGGAAAGAAAAAGATAAATTAACTTTTTTTTTTATGGCAAAGTATTTCTAAAAAAAATGCCAAATAAATCTGAAACAGTAAAAGAAAGCTTGCCTACATAAGTGTAAGAATAGCTACCATGATTATTAGTGAACCACAACATGCTTAAGTTGACCTCAGATAAATTAGTAACCCTATTTGGTTTTGACCATCACCCTCAAGATGTTTATAGAATTTAAAGTTTATAGAAAGTTAATGGAAAAACTGACAGTATTTTCTAGTATACAAAACAAAATAACTCCCAAATTAAAGTACAAAACTATGTATCTTTCAGGAGTCAGAAAACAAATTCACTGTATTTACTACTTCTCTTATCCACAGCCTAATACATGTTAATCCTGACACAATACCATTTCTCTAGCTCAGCAGGTAAAGTCAAAACCAGAGACATTCTACATGTTGAATTAATTCAGGAAGTAAAAAAAGCATATAGCGTTAATGCATGAATGGAGAAAACCTCTATAACATATTGAGGTATTCCAATATGATGTCTATCACTCCTACCACCTCAGAAGAGACTTGTAACCTAAGAATACTAGAAAGTTAATAGAAATGGAAAAAATGAAATGTTTAATACCTAGGATTTAAACCACAGGTTTTGCTAATGCTATATGGCTTACTCCAATAATTAAATACCACTCTATTTAAGCAACCAAAACAATGCAAATTATTTTTAGCAAGATTCAGCACAGGCACAGAACAAACTTGCTGGTTTACCACAACCATCCTTTCAGTAATGAAAATTAGCACAGCTTTCTAGGAAGTTATTTATTTTCACTCTTTTTTTTCTTAGATGCTAAATATATATATATAAGTGTCTTCATATATTTTTAAGTTTATATTTTAAAATTAATAAGAACTTATTGTTGTAAGTATATATATATACACAAAAGACTGCTATAAATCATAGACTCTACAGAAAGCAAAAGCATTTATGGACTACATCCAACTGTCATGATCTCCTGTATACACTTCAGAGCTAAAAGTGAAGTCCTAATCACTGCACTTACTTCCTTTTTGCTAATAATAGTGAGGAAAGCTCCAGCAGCTATTGGTACAGGCAGTAAGCTGAAACACAGCCTGTTTCCTGAGAACTCTGCTTTGCTACGACTTGTTACAGCACACCATGTCCTTACAGCAACGCAGGCATGACAAGGACTTAAGTTAAATGTCAGAGGAGCAAGTAAGGAACCTTATATTATTGAAGAAATGGAAGAAATAGCGTGATGATAGGGAAAGTGATGATGGTGGTTAAATACTCTTTGAAAGTGAAGATATAGATGCCACTTAAAGACTACATAATAGCATAACTCCAGACTGAAAAACGTAATTCTGTCTTTACATACACTTGGATATGTTTATTTTTACCAGACAACGTATAGTCAACCCATCTCAATTTTCTTCACCTTGTAACACTTCCTCCACATCAACTCAATTTTGCCAAACCCCCTCCTCCATCTCAAACCATCCTTTCAAGTTGCATTCACAAACCTGCTGCTTCCACTTCGTAAGCTTCCGTTGGACCCAGCCTTTCCCTTTACAGATTTTTCTGTTCTCCTTCCTGGCTGTCATACATTCATGACTTCTGATCTCATCGCTCCTTGTTACACAGTTCACTTTTCTACATCTCTACAGCTACAGAAATGGTGGCGACATACTCTCTGTTTTGATTCCTGAGGGACACGAACCCTAATGCTTTCAACAAAGTAGCCCAAAGCACTTACTCCGCTGAAAAAAAGTAACACTGAATCCCACATAGGGACTCAAAAAAACGTAAATAAAAGTGAGTGTCACACCCAACGTTGAGGAGCGGCTCAGTCTTTTCAGCTACAGACACTGCAGCTATTCCATGGGCCAAGAGGGGACCCCCACCGTCCCCTCGTGACTCCAAGTGCTCACTGCCCAGAAAAAAGCTCTATAAAAGATCAAACACTTAGAAATGCGGCTGAGGAGTGAAAAGATGAGACGTACACGCTGATGTCTACGTCTCAACACTGGCAATAGGAAACAGTTTTAAAGAACTTTTTGGTTTTACAGTGAGAGGCCTGGGCGGGGAGGGGCGACGACGAGCAACAGGGCGAGAGGAAAGCGCTTAACCCCACGGGGGAGCAGCCGAGGCCCCCCCGCCAACGGACCGACCGCTTCGACAAAAAGAGGGAGCAGCAGCCACCGAGAAGCTGACGAGGAAACGAGCAACCACCAGTCACGAAACAGCAGCAGAAAAGAAACTTTTATTCGGAAAAAGTCCCCGGGTGAGACCGGCCGCGGCCGCCCCACCAGAGCTCCCCGGGAGGGCCGGGCGACCCCTCACACCCCGCACCAAGCGGAAGGGGCGGGAAGGCGGCGCAGCCCGGCGCGCCTTCAGCCCTATTACCGCCTCACGGAGCCGCCGCCGGGCCCCGGC